GATGTCGATGGAATTTGGCACAAAGTGGCCTTGGTCCCATTGATTCATTAGGAGCGGTAAAGAAGATATTAAAAGGAGCTTTGTGATGAAGCTTTAGGAGATAGGGGCTGGTTGAGTTGTATGGGACTTTTTTTTTGTTTTTGTTTTGTTTAGTAAATATGGAGCGACCTTTGCCTGATATAATCGAAAGAGTTTGACGTAGGCTTGATCGATGGGAGAAAAATTTCTTTAATAATATAACGGGATTTAGTGGTTTTACGATTACGTTAATATCTCTTGGTTTGAAGCTAATAAGCCTAGTTCGCTACCTTGATTGAAAAAGAATAAAAAAAAAAGAGATACTATAGCTACTTTGGGGCGAATTTCGTTATTGAAAGATGGAAATAAATAAATTGAAAAGAATAGTGGGTATCTTATAAAGATGTTAATCCTGGCATATTGACAAGGTCATTTATTCAATACGTCCACTTAGTTAATAATGAGAAAATAATGTTAAACTTAAATGTGTAAGAGAGAGAGAGAGAGAGAGAGAGAGAGAGTGAGAGAAATGTTGAACGTTGAGACCTGTAAGGGCAGTCGGGGCTCGACGGTCCAAGGGCTCCACCGAAGAAGCTATCCCCTGGTCCGGATAGCATTCTCTTGGAAATAGCCATCCAGGTGACGACGTAGTATCCGGGCTCCTGCTGGAGGAATTCGACGACAAAGCTTCGAGAGTGTTGCTGCTGTTGCTGCGATTGGGGCGAGCCGTCGGCCGCTTGGAGGACGATGTTGCCTGTGCGGTTCCAGCCACCGGAGACGAGCTCGACGATCCTCGGGGAGTCGGGACCGTGAGCGTGACGCCCGGTCCTATTACCCTCGGCCGGGCAGACGATCGTCCGCTCGAGGGCGTTCGACGCCGGGTAGACGATAATACGGTTGCGGGTCGGACACTCGGCGATGTTGCGCTGGTTCAGCCGGAAGCCCGGCGTCTTGAGGTAGAGGAAGTGCATCGTCGCGTCCTCGGGCTCTATCAGCCAGGGCTCGTTAACGCACCGTGTCACTTCGCCGGAATTCGCGATCACCGCTCGTTGTGTCGGCGAGACTGCGCCCAGCTCCTGGACCGGCGGGCCCGAGACCGCGAGGCTCTCGTTAACCGTTTCCAAGCCATTGAGTCGTTCTCTCCGAGAGCCTCCCTCCAACTGCGACGCCTCCACCTGATCCTGGACACAGTACGCATTTACGTTGCGAACGTAACCGATAGTCAAGGCTCGCGAAACCTTGCTTGCTGGATAATTCTGGTCCTTGGCGTTACAAGTACTACTACGGTGAGTAAGTAGTCCGATGGTAATTTAGGTAATTTTTCATTGTTATTATCGAGCGGCCAGCGGGCAAATACGGCCTAACAAGCATTTAAAAAAGATTTGAAACGTTACGTTGTAGTCGTAAATAATTTGGAAATTGCCTAATTAGGCGAGACAAAAGGTCAAAGTTGCTTATTTACTTGTCTTGTTAAACGCAGTTGCTCGTCCTCGCGTTTAAATTCATTACGCATCGCATTAATGAATACCATGTGTGTTTTGCCGTAGCATGTAACTTTGCCGCAAAAAATTATGGGCCGATTAAGATTTAAAAAAAAAAAAAAAAAAAAAAAAAAAAAAAAAAAAAATAA